TACTGATAGGGTACCCCCCATGCCTCGTGGGTGACCCACAACCTAATTTAAAATGCAGAATATTCACAAAAAGAGAAGACAGCGGGCACATGGCAGCATGGGCCACGTGCCCAGAACTGGTTTGGGGTAAACATGGTAAGTGTACAGGACTTCCTTCCACGCTGAAACAATCTCAGGAAAAGCATTCAAAGTAGGGGGGCAGGGAGAGTGACCCATCAGCTGAAACTGGCAGAGCCAGCAAGACTTGGACAGGCGGAGCAGAAGAAAAGCGGCATTCCTGGAAGGAGGAAGGCCATGAACAATGGGGCAGAGGGAGGCACAGTGGAAGCTCGTTGAAGAGAGTGAAGTCCCCTCCGTTTGAAAGAATGGAAGTAAAAACCTCATTTACTGCCTGAGACGTGAGAAACCAAAGTTTAAACTATGCAATTCACTTTAACAGAGCACCTAAACAGATATGAATCATTGAGCACTGGTGTACCTGTCATGAGGTTGAAAACTAGAACGTGACCTGAATCTTATAAGTCTTCATGTGTCCTACCCTGGTTGCGTTCTCTTCCTTTTCTCTAAGCTAACCACCAAATTAAATGTCTGTTTCCTTTCTCTTTTTAAGAAGTGTTTAAAACAGAAAAGTTCATTCAATTTTGAGTACTTTGGACCTTTTTGTGAGTGCAATCATATTGTATGTATTCTATTAATTACTTTATTAATAATTTTATTATTAATAAATTATTACTCTAATAAAATTATTTATTACTCTATTAATAATATTAATAGCTGTAGTAAGTACATTTCCAATGCTGTTTAGTATCCAGTGTATGAATATTTTTTCCAACCTATTTGGGTGATTTTATTTAGCTATCACAAAACATACAGATACACCATATTTTGCTGTATATAATGTGCTCCCGTGTACAATGTGCACCTATGTTTTTGGCCCAAACTTTTAGGAAAAAATCTTCCATTTTAGTTTTTTAATTTAGTTTTTTATTTATGTATATTTAGAAACCAAACCAATTATCAAATTCCAGGGTATTATTTTGTATACAGATATTGTTATGGCTTTTTGGAGTTACACTTTTAACACATAAGCATAAATAAAAGAATTAAAAATGTTTATGTAGATACAGAATTAGTACTACCCATCTACAATGTGTATCTTTATTTTTCCTTCAAAAATTTGGGTAAAAAAGGTGGGCATTATACACAGCAAAATATGGGTATTCTTGTATGTATTACTTGGAATGTATGAACAAGAGTTTAGGGTATATATGTAGGAGTGAAATGGGCTATAGCGGAAGTAGAGGTCCTACTTTTGAAGGTAATACCAACTTGCTTTCCAAAGAGGTTGCATCAGTTGACATTCCAGCGAGCAGGGGACCAGGATTTCTGTTGCTCTTCATCTTGGCCAACACTTAGTATTCTCTGACTTTCAAATTCTGTCTATCTGGTGACAGTAAAATGGTACTGCCTTTTGGTTTTAATTTGCGTTTCCTTGATTGTTAATGCAGCTGGAGTTTGTTTATGGGCCCCCAAAATATTTCTGTGGAATCAATCTTAATGGGTTGCTTTAAGAAATTTACATTGTTAGGGTTATTGAGTACCAGAATATTTTCTCCTTATAGTTCAAACAATCCACATAAAGCAAATGTATATTACACCTCCATGTATCTCCCAGACCGTATTCTACAAATTTATATACATGTATGTTATGCACTAAGGTCTGTGCCTCCCTCTAATTCATGTGTTATGAACCCCCCGCCCCCATATGATATTAGTAGAGGGGGCCTTTGGGAGGTAATTAGGTCATAAGGGTGGAACCCTCATAAATGGAATTAGTGCCTTTATATGTAGACACACAAGAGCTTATTCTAGCCCTCTGTGGTGTAGGCATGCAATGAGAAAATGGCTGTCTACGAGCCAGGGAACAGGCCCTCGCCTGACACCAGATCTGCCAGCAGCTAGATCTCGGACTTCCCAGACTCCAGAACTGCAAGAAAAAGAATTGTTTGTGGTTTAAGCCACCCAGTCTGTGGTAATTTGTTATGGTAGCTGACACTAAGTCAGTGTAGAAATGTAATTTATCTACAACTGGATTGTTTACCTTAATTGTTTGCTCATTTAGCTTGAGCTCATCAAATTGGCATGGTGCCAGCCTGGGTGAACCTGAAGCTACTCTCTAGCTCAAAACAGCTTGATGCTGAGACTCTTTCTGCACAAACTGATTTTTTTCCCCTACAAGAACGTGTGCACCCACCTATTTCTTATAGGTTCTGAGCATCTGCAACCTTGGACATCCATTTCCGAGGCTTACCAACGTATCAACTTTTCACCAGGCTCCAGACTTCTACCTTGTTCACGTTTCCTCTATTCTCCTACTCCACTGTTCCAGGCACAAGGTGGAAGCACACCTGTGTGAGGCATGGGTACTGTCCCTCTCATAACAAGAGATGACATTATATTACAGGTGACATGGGAAAAGGGATAGATAGGGAGGGGAACAGATTTTAGCAGTCTATAATTGGTTCTGGCACTGACATGGCACTGCTGAGAAAATCGGCTTATGACGGACATAAAATCTTGCTTTTCTTTATGTTCAGGTTTCTCATAGGGTACACCTTAATTTCTAGGCTTCAAACACTTTCATTAATGGAGCCTATAAAACTTGAATTATTACAGCTGTAATTACCACTTGCAAGGAGTCACTATTCTGGAAATCAGCCCTTTTCCTCCTATCCTGCAGGTGCTAACAGCAAAGCACAATGCAGCTAAGTTGCTTAAAGGTAGCAAAGAAAGGGAAGCATGAATATACTTTCCTGGGTTTTCAGTCCAGACAGTGATTCTCAATTTTTCGGGCTTCCACATTGGAGTAGATGCTGTCTCCACCACTCGCATCCTTTGGGCCTCCTCCTCGGAAGCTTGCTTTCAGAGAGTTCTAGTACCTGGGGAGGACTGTGTCTCTTGCCTAAGTGCCTTAGGAGTGTGCTTTTCCCAGCACTGAGCTGGGTAGGAGTGCAGGAGCATTAACACACCACAGAGGGAAAGGAATCTGTGGGTAAATGCCTCAGCTCTTTTGCCTGCAGGACAATTCTGACGTGTGTTCCAGTTTCTCAGATGGTGCACAGCAGGCCTGAGCCCACACAATAACCCCTCATTAATGTGCCCTGTAATGACATTCCTTCTTTTCCTGTCTCACTCCTTCAGAGTGCCTCTTGGAGTCACCTCCTAAATAAACTATTTGCATCGAAATCCTGATTCAGAGCCTGATTTTGGGAGGAGCCCAAACTAACACAAGGGCTCCTTTGAAAATGTCTGGGAAAACAAGGTCCCTCTCCCCAAGAAAATATGTCATGCTTTTAAGAAAACTTAGTAAGATTTGGTGATATTTCAATATTAGGGCCAGGGTTCCAGAATCACCGTAATTTTGCTCCCCCCCGCCCCCAAAGGATTACTGAAGGAGCCGCACACAACGGCCTAACAAGAATGAGAGGATTTATTAATAGTTTCAAAGTGCCTGAAACCCCTTTACGCTGTTTAAAATACTCTTTGTGTGGCTGGCTCCCTCTCCGTTTTTGTTTTTCTCACAGTGGTCTTCTTCAAACTCCCTAACACATAGCAGTAAAAAAGAGATCAGTAATGGCTGACACCGGTATCTACAGCAAGGTCCGTCCTATACTTTCAACCTTGGGAACTCTGACACCTTTGCTGTGACTGTAATATTCTTATCAATTTCCACCGGTTGAAATCATGTTAACTTTGCAGGGTTTGGTACAAATGCCACCTCCTCCATGAAACGTTCTCCAATCCTGCCACCCGGACGGAAACCTGCCAACAGCTCCGTGCCCACAGTTCCTGGTGACCGCTTTAGGGTCGTGGTCAGGGGTCCCCCCACAGCAGAGACCAGCACAAGGCTCGCAGAGTCTCTTCCTTAATGATCGCAATGGGTCTGAAAGATGTTCAACTAGGAACTGTTTCGCACCTAGTCCAGTCCACGTTCATACATTTTCCATTTAGCAAGGACATTCAATTTTCACCTCATTTATTTCACCCGTGAACCCAAGTGGACAACCTGAGAAAACTTAAGTTTGGTGAGGTCACACAAAGTCAAAGCCCTTGAAAGGGGCCAAATCTCACTTGTTTAATGCCCAAGCTGCTTCGGGCGGGGAGGGGGGAACCTCCAACTTTCCCAGGCCCCCAAGACAGATGGTCATTTAAGCTCCAGATCCAAAGTTGAGGATGGACAGAACTTGCTCCCAGCCCTGAGAGGTTGCTGCGAGAACCTCGATGGGCGCTGCAGAGATAACTTCCGCCTGGAAAAGTGTCGTCATGGGGCAAGTTTTCAGTTCCACTCTGTCCGTAGCCCAAGGCCTTTTATCCTAGTTGGCTGCCCTCCACACCCAAAGGCTACCCCACCCAGCTACTCCCTCAAGCTTCTCCACACCCGGCGGAGCCGTTTGCACGTCTTGAGGGTGTGACGGTTACGCCGTGACGTCCCTCCGGGGAAGGGAAAGCAAACGGGCTGCTGGCGATCTTGAGGGACTGGAGCCCCGGTATGGAAGAGCGCGCAGAGAGCCTGGAGGCAGGACTAACACATGATTGATGTCCACACGCACCCGTTGCCTTTCTGATTCCTTCTCAAACAAACCAATGAATGCGACAACGAAGACGGCAACGTGCCCCCGCCGCCAGAAGTGGCTCCGCCCCCTCCACTCGGCCGCCCTTGGTCGCCATGCTTAGTGTGGCTACAGCCTGTGTGTCATTTAGACTCTTCTCTGGCTCTCCGATGTCCTCGCTGACCTCCTTCCTAAACACTCTTTCGCTTGCACTCTCAACTTCCACGTTCTCGGGCTTCTTGCTTGGTCCCTGCTAATCCAGCCACACTTGAGATGGCGGCTGGCGGGGCGGGGCAGGGGAGGGGCGTGACCGGCGCGGTGACGTCAGCGCGCTGCGTGTCGGCAGGTGAAGGGAAAGTTTGGCCCGTGCGTGGGGCTGGGGTGGAGGGCGGGACAGAGGGGCCGGGCCCAGGCAAAGCTCCTGTAGCTGCTGCAGCTGAGGCCGAGGCCGGGACCTGGACCGGGCCGGGGAGTGCCCGACGCGGAGGAGCAGGAGGCGAGGTCCGCCGGAGCTTCGAGCCCCCGCCGCTCTGCCGCGCTGTGACCCCGCACCCGGGCGCCGTCCGGACCCGTGGCTGTTCTCGAGGAGATTGGTGGGGTCGCGGCGGCAGCGGTTGGGGGTGGGGAGAGGCGCGGCGAGGAGAGGAGAGAGGTCAGCGAGTTTGAGGGAGGACCGAGAGCTGTGCTGCCGTCATGTCCGAGGACTCGAGCGCCCTGCCCTGGTCCATCAACAGGGACGATTACGAGCTGCAGGAGGTGATCGGTGAGAGCTGGCGCCACTGAGTGGGGAGGCACCGCTCTGGGCAGAGGGTGACACGCGGGAGCTCGGAGAGCGCAGGACTCATAGATATTAATGGGTACTCGCGGGGCCCGGGGGTTTGTGGGACGCGTGGGTGAGGCTCTGGGTCTGTGCAGCGCGCGTGAGGCGAGGAGGAGATTTTGAGTGGCGCGCCTGCGGGGCGGGGCGGGGTGGGTTTGAGGGGCTCAGGAGAGATTTGTGTAGTGATAGATGTTCGAACCTGAGCGGCAGATGAGTCTTGGAGAGAAAGAAAAGTGCGGGCGTGGGGCAGGCCTTTACAAGGCTCTACCAAAAAAGGGATATTAGAGTTGTGGCACAGCCACCTATTTGGGGGATTATGGGATAGGGTGCTTTAGTTCATTCCCGCATCGGTGCGCGAAACCTTGAGTGCCCACGAAATGCCAGACATTGCTGGGGTGGAGCCGGGGTGGAGCCGGGGAGGAGCCGGGGAGCCGCAGGTACCGAACTGAGCAACGTGGACACAACTTCCGACTGTTTGAGACGGATTTTCCAGTCAGGGAGGCAGACTCTAAAGAAGCAGATAAATAAAAACAATGATAGGTTTTGGCAAGTGTTAGGAAGGAAATAAGATGTTCCGATAGGGAATAAACCCGGAGACCTCGTTGAGGTGACTTCAAGGAAAAATCTTTATTTTGAGGCATTTAAGTTGAGCGCTGAAGGATGAGAAGGAAGCTGAAGAGCTTAAGGGAAGGTTTTTCCGACTGAGGGGTGAGAAAAGGCGAAGGTCCTGAGGCGGGGAAAAGCCTTGGCGTGTTTTAGGAGCTGAAGCAAAGCTGGCAGGGATAGAAATGAAGGTGAGGGAGAGGCCGGATCTTAGGGACCTTGTCAGCCCTGGTAAGGATTTTGGAATTTTGCGTGTTACTGGAGGGCTTCAAGCCAGGACATCCCGTGGGTCTGGCTGTTGTGTGTGGAGTGGATTTGAAGGTGGTCCAGGAATACCAGTCCGGCGGAGACCAAAACTTGCACCAAGACTGGTCCTTCTCAGAGAGGCAGGGGGCGATTTGGGGAGCGTAGGGACCGGGCATGGTGACGGGGGTGTTGGACAACAATAATCCAGCGACTTTAGATATCGAAAAGGGGTGGTTTTCGCTAAACAGAAGCTCAATCCAATTGACAGGAGCAGACCCCTGTGTATTGGAGGAAGGAGATTATCTGCTTTGCTAGATCAGCATCCTGTCCTAAAATTAGTTTTCTAACAAAGACTGGCTGAAAACTCATTAACTGTGTCGGGGGTGTATGTGTTTATTGGACTGTGTCTGTGTTTTAGAGAAACTCTGTCAGATTTCTTTTTTTCACTTGCCTCTTGTTTCAAAACAAATCTAAGCTAAGTTTTACTGGGAAGACATCAGAGCTTTTTCCTTAAGTCCCTCCGTGGGCCTGTGTTCTTGCGGCGTGCGGAGCCCTGACCTGTCCCGGCGGGTTCTGCGGACGGCTGGCTCTGGCTCTGTCCTGGCTGACTGCTTCCGGGCCCCTCAGAGTTTCATATTGAAGAGGGGGACTCGGCGGGACATTCCAAAGTGGTGTCTGAAAAGTCAAGAAGAGTCCCTGCGGTTGTTTTAGAAGGCGAGTTTTGCTTTCCTGTTTGGTGTACCTCTTTCTAGGATGAAGGGGACGCCTGTGGTCGTTCTTCATGCCTTCGCTGGTTCGGTGGCCCAGGACTGGAGCTATTTGGAGGCTGGTGCCCTCAGACCGGGAGGGTGTCCCTGAGTGGAGAAGGGGGAATCTCAGTCTCCTGGGATAGGGTTAGTCTTTCTCTTATTCTCAGAGTGGTCCACGGATAAAACGTTAAGAACGCCAATGTGATTTGACCACCTTATTTTTAAAAACAGCTTTACTGAGGTATAATTTAATACCAAAAAATTCACCCATTTTTAAGTATAAAATTCAGTGATTTTTAGTGAATTGACTGTGTTGTGCACCAATCAGCATAATCCATCTTTGGAATATTTTCACCACCTCAGTGAGATCCCCTGTGTCTGTTACAGTCACTCCCCGTCCCCACTCCATCCCACCACCGACCGACTCTCTGTCTCTATAGATTGGCCCATTTTGGATATTCCATATAAATGGGATCATATAACGTGGTCTTTTGTGTTTGGCTTCTTTCCATTAGCGTAGTATTTATCATTTCTAAAAACAATTTTATGGAAGTATAAGTTGTATACCATAAAATCCACCTGTTTTAAATGTATTATTCTGTAGTTTTTTAAATTTACAGAGTTGTTGGATCATCACCACAATCCAGTTTTGGCACATTTTCATCATTCCCAAAAGATGCCTCATGTCCCTTTGCACTCACTCCCTGTTCCCATCTCCTGCTTCAGGCAGCCACAAATCTATTTTCTGACTCTATAGATTTGCCTTTTATGGACATTTCATATAAATATAATCACATAATACGTGATCCTTGGTGTTTGGTTTCTTTTATTTGCGATAATGTTTTTTTGAGGTTTATTCATGTTGTAGCTGGTATTGTCTATTATATTCCTTTTGGACACCACTTGATGGATGTTGGGTATCTGCTTTTTGTCTGTAAGCATTCATATCAGATCTTTATGTGAACATATTTCATTTTTCTTGAGCGGAATTGCTGGATCATATGGTAAATTTATGTTTAACTTTTTAAAGTGACTGCACCATTTTATATTCACATTAGTGATACATGAAGGTTCCTATTTCTCTTGCCAGCATTTGTTTGTCATTTTGATTGTAGCCATCCTAGTGGGTGTGAAGTGGAATCTTACTGTGGATTTGTCTTGCATTTCCCTAATGACTAATGATGTTAAGCATCTTTTCACATGCTTGTTTATTAGTTTTCCATATATCTTCTTTGCTGAGATGTCTATTCAAATCCTTGCCCATTTAGGTTGTGATTTGGGAAGTAGTATAATGGTACCTCCTTTTTCATCAAAACACATTTATTTAAACTAATTTTTTTCAGGTGTGCTACTTAGCACTGTAATATTTGTAGGGTTAATACTTTATACATTCCATTTTGTTCTCTCTTTTTCTGGCAAAATCCTATAGAGAAAAGAAAATTTTCTTCCTCAAACATCATAAAACTGTACAGAGTGAGAATTTAAAGGACTTCCTTTTAAAGAATTTTATTATCTTAAACATGCTTTGACAAGATTTGAAGTTCTTTAAATATATTTACTTCTAAAAAATATTAGCATTGTTCTCATTATAAATCATTCATCTTTTCAGTGTTTTTCAGTCCCTTTCTAACCCCTATTATTATATTAGAATTTCTGACTAGGTGTTTGTTTTACTGTATTTGATGTGTTGAAGCAACAGTAAAATTGTGGGCTTTGGGGTTAGACTGACCAGGATTCACATTCTGACTTTATCTGTTACAACCTGTGTGATCTTGGACAATGTTACCGGTTTTAGTGTCAGCTTTTTGTCTGTAAAATGGGATAGTGGTACCTATGTCATTGGGGCTGCTATGTGGCGTAAGTGTAATTGTTTAGCTTGTATTCAATGTTTCATAAAATGGTTGCTGTTATCTCTGACTTTCTTTTTCTCCTGGCCCTTTTCCTAATTTTTGATATTGCCACGAAATGTTGAAATACGAAGCTATTTGAAATCTTGTAACACAAATATTTTGGATCTGTTTTAATTAGAACATCATTGCGTCTTTTTTTCTTTACTTTCCCATCTCATTCAAGTTTAGGTGGATTTAAGGATTTATGTTGGACGTGGTCATACAGCTATGTAAGGCCCTGCCACGCATGGTGTGGCGTCTGAGCGGGAAGCCAGTCTGTTAAGGACTGTGCCATGTGCCTTTTATTGGGATGCATCTTGAAAAGTCTCAATAAATATTTACTGTTTACCTCAGACTAGGTTTAGAAAATCTTTTCTTTAAAATCTGTTTTTAGTGAGATGATTTGTTTAGCTTTGACACTTTGGTGAAGATGACCCACAGGCATGATTCTCTACTTTCCTCTCTCCTTTTTAATTTTCATTAATTGTTCACTAGCCACACATTTTCATATCCAGAGTAGTGATTTCCAGCTGCAGATGCCAGGACCCCACCTCTGACCCCTCCATGAATAGGGAACACATCACGTGCTATCAACAGTGATGATAGCAGTGGTATTCTCTTCCTCTGACAGGTAGTCTTAGCTATGGTTACATTTTCAATATGGCCAGCTTTGGGCCAGCAACCTTCAAGATTGCATTTGGCTGCTTGTAAATGGAAAATAAATAATAGTAGCTTAATAAACTACTTTTTCCTCCTTTATATATAATGAGAAAACTGGAGTGGCACCCAGGCTTCTAGTTTTTTACTCCACTACGCTTAGCACATGCCTCTCATTCTCATAGTTGCAAGATAATTGTTCCACCTAGAGCCTCGTGCTTGTGTTCGAGGCCGGAAGAATATGGCAAAAGGACAAAGGCACGTGACAACTTAGTTGGCTCCCTTTCAGAGGACTTTCTTTCCTGGAAGCCTTACTCAGTGACTTCCATTTCTACTTTATTGGCCAGCACTGTGTAATTTGGCCATTTACAAGGGAGGCTGTGAAATATGAAGCTTTGTAGCTGGGCACAATAGTACTTTGAACAAAGTTAGCTGAAAGTTCTGTTATTAAATAAGGGAAATTGTATGTTGAATAGGCAACCAAAAATGTTGGCCTAGACTGTGTGTGTGTGGTTTTTTTTAATTAAAATAGTTAAATAAGACATTGCAAGTAAATAATTTAACCTGACACATAGTAATCAGTTAATAAATGTTAGCTTTAACTTAAAGAGGCAAGCTGCCTACCAATTAAGGGCATGGTGTTGAAACATCATGTAGTTCTGGTTTCTAGGCCCTACCCTGCCTCTTACTAATTTATGACCTAATTCTTACACATGCTTACATTGCTTTTATTACATTGCTTTGTAAAATCAATAATGCCTAACTCATGAGATTATTGTCAGGATTAGATGAAAAAAAG